AAAAAAAAATAAAAAAATAAAAAAATAAACACATCATGGTAAAATTAATACCTTCTCAGCTTCGCATCGAAGCTAAAATATTTATATAGTTTAAAAAGCTAAAAAAACACGTTTTTAAAGCATATTGAACTAAAAAGTTCAAATTAATTTTTAAAATAAGTTTAAAACAATAACGAATGAAAAGTACTAGTATTATTGTGATAAAAGCGTGGGTGCTTTGTGCCATATTTTTCGTATATTGAGCGCCCAACGCTTTTTTCACAATAATACTAGTATTTTTCGTTCATTATTGTCTTAAGCTTATTTTAAAAATTATTCTTAACTTTTTAGTTCGATATGCTTTAACAGCATGTTTTTCAGTTTTTTTTAACTATTTTTATTTTTTACTTTTTAGTTTTTATGTCATTGCTGTCACAGTCACGGAGTGTTTATTGTCAATTATGACTATCATAACAGTTAAAATTTGTCTCTATATATATATATATATATATGTATAATATTGATGACACACAGGCATGTACGGGTATAAAAAACCCAGCACAGGGGGGTCGCGGCACAGTGGTGACGTGGCATAGTTGGATCAAGTATAATGATATCTGACAGTGATTAAAATCACTATCAAAAATAAACGCTTCGATGCAAATCTTTAGATAGTGTTTAATTTTAAAAACATTGGTGTTTTATTCCAAAAGCTACTTGATCTGCTGGTTTCTTATTAATATCTCGATTAAGATAAAGTATGTCGAATGAAAAAAGGTTTATTAAAAAATATTATTTCTCATAAAAAAATTGTGTGGATCCATAAACTTTTCAATAAGTTATAGCATTATAAAGTTAAATATAATATAAATAATAAAATCGAAAATTTTCACACAAAAAATAGCATTCGGTAGCTGTTTTCACCATGATGACAAGTCCAGAGGTCAAATATTCTTTTTCAAATTAAAGTACATTACATTAGCTTTAATTTAAGATATATATAAAAGTGTCAGACCTTCCGGAACATTTTCAAAAGTTAAGTTGAAAAAGTTAATTTTTTGTGAAAAAGTTGTCATTTTAAATCCCCCCCTGTGGGCAGAAAAATGGTCAAATTTACAAAAAAAATATACCAAATGATAAGTAAAGACATCAAGCATCTATATAAAAAAAATTTATATTGATATGTTCATTTTTGAAAAAATTTCGAAAATTAGCGATTTTTTAATTTGTAATTTTTTTGGAGGTTTCCCCCATTTACGTGGAACGAGGGGATTTTTTTCAATTTTTGAGGGTAATGTCTTCGACTAGATACAATTTGTGATCTTTTGACGTATCGTTGAAAGAAATCCGTTCGGTGAGAGCTGAGAAAAAGTGGTAACAGACACAAAAAAAAAAAAAAAAAAAAAAAAAAAAAAAAAACACATCATAGTAAAACCAATACCTTCTCAGCTTCGCATCGAAGCTAAAATAAAAATAAAATTATACAGGAATATTGTTGCCATCGTATGGTTAGCGGGGTGGGGTGAATGCGTTATGACAGTCTAGTCAAGGCCATAGACGACGGAATACGTGAGAAATAACACGTAACAAATATACAAACATACATACAGGTGAAACTAATATAAGCGTGTTAAAAAAGCAGTGTACAGTGTGGACATGACATAGTTAGGACAAGATTAGATGATAGCTGACAGTGATTAAAATCACTATCATAAAAACCGCTTCGATGCAAATCTGTAGACAGTATTTAATTTTAAAAAATTGGTGGATTATTCCAAAAGCAAAATGAACTTCTATTTCCTTATTTATATCCTGATTACAAGTTTTATATATAAATAAATATTTAATAAATTTGTTTTACATTGACAGACAAATTTATTTGACATTTATTGAATTTTAACTGGAATATTTTTGGAAAAATGAATTAAAACAAAGTTTTCTTTATTTTTTTTTTCTTATATCTTACTCTTTATCATCCCGTAGAAGGATTTAAATTAGTAACATTTACATTCCAAGGTATCTTTAACAACTTAAATTTTGAAAATATTCTGGAATTACTACGCTTAAGTTAAACAATGATTTCAAATACTTGTCTTCCAAATGTTAAATAAATTCTCTCGAAGTTAAAATGTTATATTGGTAAAATATATCATTATATCCAACCCAACTATATCATGTCCCCACTGTTCTACCATTTGTTTTATTATTAAAAAAAAATAATAATAAACAAATTTTACTGTAGAATAAACTGTTAAATTAAAAAATAGTAATTTATATTCGCTGCTTCATAACGTAAAATGCATCATTGTAAAATTTATAACTTCTCACCTTCGCATCGAAGCTTAAATAACACACACTACTTTGTAATTATACTATAAAATCTACTAAGGCTCATAATTAAGAAATATAATCATTTTTATTAAACGCACATATACACTTTTTTTATTATAACTTTTTGATAAATTAATATTTGAAAATTTAAAAAAGGTGAGTAGTGTTTAGTGATACTCTATTTTTACCATAACCTACATAAGAAGTTATTTCTACGTTTTATTACAGTAAAAATATATTATTAAATTTACCTTCCAATCACATGGTGTCAATAAACGTTCTTTTGATTTGAAAGATAACTTTAATGCATCTATAGTTCTCATCAATTCACTGAAAATTTTCAAATTATTATTTAAAAAAACTGAACATTAAATAAATGATGACCAACGTTCTATGTCCCTCAAAATTATAATTTTGTTCTATTAGGAAATAATAATCCGTAAGACAATGTTTATAGTTTATTTTTGGTTAAATTCGACGTCACTTAGTTTGTATTAAACAAGTTATTATAGTTCAGTTATTGTGTATTAAATAATAAATTCGCCAATGTTGATATGTTTTTGGTACTTTCATGGTATCATATTTTTTTGTTGTAAAATCATTTGTTACATCAAAATCATTTAACATAATTATTTAATAATTTAAATGAAATCAATATAATTAACACCTAAAAATAAAATATTTCGAACTTCTATATTAAATTTTAATATATAAACTCCAAGTTTTAAAACTATTATTGAGTAATTTTTTTGGTACATAAAACGTTAATCTCATGAATTATTCAAATTTAACAATTGGAAGTACTAAAATCAAAGTTAATTTTTAACATGACCTTTTCTCATTTAATATACTTCAATTAATATAGCTTTGTATGACTAACTTAATATTAGCAAAAAGTATTACTCGATATTACGGCCAGTGGTTTGAGGATAAAAATGCATCAGTTGAATGCTTAAATCAGGTGCGAATATAAAAGTTGCTCTGCATGGTACCGGAATACCATCTTGATCAACACACTTTTGATCTAGAACACTCAAATATATTGATAACATACGGTTACAATCCGATACGATTGGGAAAGGAAAATCTTCATCGTCTTTGATTTCTCCAAGTTTTTTTAAATCCTGCATACATTTACTATAAAGTAATTTTCGTGTTCAATGTAAGTAAACTGTTTATGGATTGCATAAAATTTTATCACCAATAAATATATTATATATTAGGAAGTTTAGGATAATGATGGCTAACCCCAAGTAATTGGGATTAAGGCGAGGATAAAGAAGAAGAAGATATATTAATAAAATAATCCTCTCGTAAGCAGGTAAAAGTCATGTTTTGAAAATTTATTTATAAAATGAAAAGGAAATACCTAAGGTTTCTATATAAAATTATTTTGACTCCTTCATTTTTGATAAAGTTATGGTAGTTTTCAAAAAAAAAAAAAACTCAAAATTTAACGATTTTAATAATTGTAATTTTTTTAGGAATTTTCTCCATTTACAGGTAAAAAGGAAATTTTTTAAATTTTTAATGGCAATGTCTTCAACAACATACAATGTGATTTTTTGATATATTGTTGAAATAATCGGTCCAATGAGAGCTGAGAAATAGTGACGACAGACATAAAAGAAAAAAAACACATAGTAAAATTAAAACATTCTCAACTTCGTACGTAACTAAAATATGAATTAACTAATTATAATAAATTATTTATTTAATATATTAATGTTTAACACAGTTCGACGACCTGTGTCACCTTTACTACGTGTATATTGAAGTTTGACTGACCTACGTCGTTTGGGATACGCTACGGTACAAAGTTCAGCAAGAGCCGCATGGACAGCATAAACACACGTCAACGTATCATCTTTTGGTGTTAATTGTCTTAACATACAATTCAGTGTACTTTATTTCAATTGTGTGATTATTATATCAATTGTGTGAATAAAACGCACTTCGATAGGGGCTAAGAATACTTCCACGGCCCCTCTGACAGTCGTAAGAGGCGACTAATGAGGTTGCGTCGGGTCAACAGCCGACGCAAAATTTTTATCAAATAATATCAGGTGTCCTGAACAAAACTTAAGTGAATTGTCACATCTCGGATGTACGCGGAGACAACAGGTGAGAGAGAATAAAGTAGTTAAAAACGGAGAAAGTTTAAGGAATAAAGTGTTTGATACCAGCTGTTTCACCAGTCATGTGTACAGGTCTACTTAACGCTTGTAGTGCCAACGATGTAGGGACATCACCACTTGATGTGCAAAGAGGTGGAAAGAGTATATTGAAAAATTACTGAATTACTGAGGAGTACCCAAGAGAGACATAAGAGAATATCTCGTGGAATGAGGAACTGATAGATTTAATTAGTGAGAAAGAGGTATGTGAGGCTATGGCATCTGTTTGATTAGGTTATCATATATGTACATATACACAACAAGTAGCATACCTTACATATTATTATTAATATATAGTTGTGGAAATACATATAATAAATATTGTTTCTGTTTTTAATAAATGTATTTATTTTATTAAATAAAATATCAACAACGAAACATGGCGCAGTTGGTAGGATTTGACTTCAACTGAGGAGAAATATATATATTATCGATTAAATCGGATAAAAACAATGGCCTCAGTAAAACTGCCAAAATTAAATTTTGGTACTGCGGAATCGTTGTATAATGAATTTAATAATTTCAAAAGACAATTTTTTAATTATCTCGATGCTAATGAACTTAATAAGAAGAATGAAAAAGTGAAAGTAGCTCACTTGAAAAGTGGCTTGGATGAAGAAGCTTATTCAGTAGTTGAAGCGTTTGACTTGAAACAGGAGACTGTTCAATCAATATTTGATGAGCTTCAAAAGTATGTTGAGCCAAAAAAAAGTATTATAGCTGAACAGTTTAAATTCTTTAAACGACAACAAGCTGAAGGAGAACCTTTTGACAAGTTCTTCATTGAACTTAAAAAAATGGCTAAAAAGTGTGAATTTGGTGATCAAGAAGATAATCTTTTAAAAGTAAGAGTTGTCCTTGGAGTATGTGATTTAAAATTACAAGAAAGGTTGCTGAGAACACCTGACACGACTCTTGATAAAATAGTTGATCATTGTAGAGCAACTGAAACAGCAATGCTAAATCAAGTAATGATGAACAAAGATGATTATAAGTCTGTTGACCTAGTAAAATGCAAAAATGAAAAATTGAAGAACCTTAATTATTCGACTAAGAACAAAACGTTCAAATGTGCTTATGAACAACAAAATGAACAATCAACAAGTAATCAGATCAAGCAACTACAAAAAGCAAAAGAATATGATTGTAAAAAATGTGGTTACAAACATGGGGCAAGGCAGTGCCCAGCATTTAACAAGAAATGCATTAATTGTGGTGTCATGGGTCATTTTAAGATTGGCTGTAAAAAGGGTAAGACTGATTCCAGTTATTGTAATAAGAAAATTGATGAAATATTTTTAATTGATAATATCAACAGTAATAATGATAATGTTTGGAAAAAAAATATTTGTATTAATAATATTAACATAAGTTTTAAATTAGACTCTGGTTCTGATATTAATGTTATACCATTTAATTATGATGTTAATATTNTTAATGTTATACCATTTAATTATGTAAATACATTAAAAATAGATGTTAATAATATAAGTAATCATGATATAAAAGTTCAGGCGTATGGTGGTTTCTGGTTGAAGGTCAGAGGTAAAATTATATTANCTGGTTGAAGGTCAGAGGTAAAATTAAATTGAGGTGCAGTATGGATGGGAACAGTGTCGATATTGAATTTATAGTTATTGAAAATGATAACATCAGACCGTTATTGGGTAGAGATACATGTAAACAGTTAGGTTTGTTAGTACAGGTTGTTGATATGGTAACTAATAGTGAGAAAGAAAAATTTATGAAAAAGAACAAAAATATATTTGAAGGACTAGGAAAACTTCCATTTAAATATAAGATTACACTAAGGAAAGAATGTGTGCCAGTTGTAAGACCTCCGAGAAGGGTTCCTAATGTTATAAAGGCAAGGTTAAAAACTACATTAGAAAACGTAGAGAAAAGTGGTGTTATACAAAAAATTGATAATCCAACAGACTGGGTAAATAATTTAGTAATAGCAGAGAAAAAAAATGGTAATTTAAGAATATGTTTAGATCCTAAATTTTTAAATCAAGCCATTAAAAGAGAACGTTCTTATATACCAACGAGAGATGATATAAAAAATAACTTGGTAGGGAAGAAATGGTTTACTGTAATGGATATGAAAGAGGCATTTTACCATATTGAGTTGGACGATGAGTCAGCAGATTTATGCACGTTTATAACACCTTTTGGTAGGTACAGATTTTTGAGATTACCTTTTGGGGTAATAACAGCACCAGAAGTGTTTCAGAAAATGGCAATGGTTGCATTTGAAGGTATTGATGAGGTGACTGTCTATTTTGATGATTTAATAATTGCAACAAAAACTGAACAAGAACATAGAGATGTGCTAGCTAAAGTAGTGGATAGAGCTATTAAGTGGGGAATAAAGTTTAATTCTGATAAAATTCAGTATATGGAAAAAAGTGTGAAGTATATGGGTATGATTTTTAGTGAAATGGGTGTATTGCCAGATCCAATGTTAACAGAGGCAATAAGTAGAAGGAGAGAACCAAAAAATGTCTCAGAGGTACAACAAGCGTTAGGACTAGGGAGTTATCTAACTGAATTTATCCCAAATCTAGCAAAAATAACCAGCCTTTTAAGAACTTTAATAAAAAAAAAAAAAGTGATTGGAAATGGGAAAGTGATGAAAAAGAGGCATGGCTGAAATTTAAGGAATGTATTTGTAATCCACCTGTATTATCTTTATTCGATGCAAGTAAACAAATAATAATTTATTGTGATGCTAGTAAGGAGGGTATTGGGTGTTGTCTCTTACAAGACAATAAACCTGTAGCATATGCTTCTAGATGTTTGAGTAAGACAGAGATAAACTATGCTCAAATAGAGAAAGAAATGTTGGCTATATATTTTGCTTGTCATAGATTTCATCAAATGGTATACGGGCATAAAATAATTATGTATACAGATCATCAGCCTTTAATTACAATTTTTAAGAAAGAGATAAATGAAATAACAGCTAGGTTACAGAGATTTAAACTTGGGTTGTTAAAATATGACATAGAACTATTGTTTGTGCCGGGAAAAAAAAATTTATTAGCAGACCCGTTATCTAGGTTATATTTAGATGATGAACTTATATTTGAAAATGAGTGCAATGAATTAGTTCACGAAGTTATCTTATCACCTGAAAATGTATTATTAGTGTCACCTGAGAAACAAAAATTAATAAAATTAAAGACAAAGGAAGACCCTTGTTTAGCAAAAATTTTAGAATTATATTATAATGGGTGGGATACCAAATCACTAGATTTGTCAAATAATGCAGAAATAGGCAAACTTGTTAAAGAAAAAGATTTTATTACTATTCTGCCGTGCTAAGCAAAAACAGGATAACTCCAAAATTAAAAAAAATTTTAGCTTCGATGCGAAGCGGAGAAGGTATTAATTTTACTATGATGTGTTTTTTTTTTTTTTTTT